CAGAGAGCAATTATCCCAATGCATTTTGCTGGCTGTTTGGTGAGTTAATGGGAGGTAATTACACGGGCAGCATCACGGGGGACTGGAACAGCCAGCGGCGCGCTAGGCACGTTTCTGCATCACTCACCCAGCAAGGAACTTGCTCCAGGCCTTCGTCTCCCATAAGAAGTGGATTCCTAGAAGATACCAGGATGGGCATTTCCTGTCCATGAAGAACATTGGCTCTTTGTTTGCTATCCCCTGTGGGAGAAGGGGCTACAAGCAGGCAGACCAGAGGTAAAGGATAACATTCTGCTCACCCAGGCCACCAAAAGCCACCTAATGCCATTCAGTGGGGCACTGCTGCTGAGCTTATCCCTAAAGTGCTCTCCTCTGCGATCGATGCAGCTGCTGGCAGATCCCAGTGCATAGCTCTGATTTACAGGGATAGATCCACAGGAGAAAAATAACAGAGATTACAGCAGACAAATTAAGGAAACCAACATTAGCAGAGGAGAAGCTACCACAGACTAATCGTTAATGGACAGAAGACAGCATATAATAGTAGCTCTAATTAAATATTAATTTTTCTCACTTCTCTCTGAGTGAATGCAGCTATCTGTGCTGGCACAGGCACTTCTGGGAAATAGCACAGTTTAGAAGAAAAGCAAAGAGAACAAATGACTTCAGATTATTCCAACTGCTTCAATTTGCTGCCCTGGATCCAAAAGGGCTGCACCACAGAAGAAATCTGTCTTTTTACTCTGCTACATAAATGAATGGCTGGGAGGCCTGTGACTGATTCCAGAGCTCCTCCTCCTACTACTCCAGCCAAAACACTTTGCAATGTATAATAAACTCAGAACATTTAAAGATATGGGGGTTTTGTCAAAAAAAAAAAGTTGAATTGATCAAAATTCCATTCTTGAGTAGCATTTGAACACTTTTCCCTAGAAAGATGTTCCCCCATCATAAAAACATCAAATATCCTAACTGCAAGGCTGAGATCAAAGCATGCAAACATATCCGTCAGCCAAAGCACCAGACACTGCAGCAGAATTTCCTGCTCCCAAAATGAATTTTCAGCAAGAACCCTGCAAAGAGTCACAGAAAGCTGTGCTCTGCTCCCTTAGAACGTAGGATTTTGCTATAACCATTTAAAATGATACATGCTAATGAATGAGCATCAATCACAGTGACGTCTGCAAACCACTGTATCCTCACCCCACCATTTCTGCTAATGTCCCTGGAGAACTGCAGCAGGCTATCAGATACTCCAGGAGTAAGATTGCTAGATGTATGTTTAGGCCTGTCTGCTACCAACCAACAAGTGAGCAGGCTGACATGCATCGTGGCACACGATGCAGGGATGGATATATGCAGACCAGGTGACAAAGCAGTCAGAATGCTTCTAGTTGCCATTCATCCCTTCCCTATGCACACAGAACATAGGCAGCAGTTGGCACAAGAGCCTCCTGCATGCAACCTGACACTGCATCAGCAGTGTTTGCTTCTACAGACCAGCAGCAGTGTCAAACACTTTGTGCTCCCAACTGTACAGACTTGCAGGCTCCTGCTCTGCTACAAGTCAAGGAAATACACTGTAAGCATTTCAGTGCGGGTGGTTCTCAATAAATCCATCCTCTGATACCCAGCTGATCAGCTCCTCCTTCAGAGAAGCTCACAGGAAAGGTGTTAGCCTGCTAGATGGGAAATAAACAGGAAGCTTCAGCTGCACAGATACTAATGGGATAAATGTATCTCCCTCAGAATCAGGCAGTACGCTCTAACTGTAGGGGCTGAGCAATTAAGGCTCCAAGCCATCATCCCTTTCAATATACTTCACCAGTTTTGCAGACTCGCACTCCCATGGTTTGTGATCCAAAGTGTTTGATTTTCTAAAACACAGATAAGCTCAAAGTCACAGGGCCAAAAAGTTCAGTAAGATTTACACAGCCTTAACCCCTGCTCACGTAAGTTACATGAGGCACCCAGCTTACAGAAGGGTGGATTTGATGGAGAACTTCTCCACCAAACTTGTGTGAGTGCTGCTTCACAGAGCACCTTCTGGGGAGAGTGCTGGCCCTCAGCGAGGTGTCATCCAGATGCAGCAGACACGCTGTATTTCTCCATCACACAGAGCATCTACTGCCTAATGGCCCTCAGAAGAAAAAAACATCTCCACAAGAACCATACTCAGATGTAATGAAGGGATGGGGAAGCACACCAGCACAGGGGGAGACTGCTCACAGCTACTGTGGCTACAGTACTGTGTTTTGCAGCTGTAGAGGGAATGCTGAACTGAAAGGCTCCCCTCACAACTGCATTTCAAGGAGCTGCACACGTGTGTGCCTCTGGTGGATGACCAACATCTCCTTTCTTCACATACACAGGCTGAGTGAGCCAGGAGGTTGTTACACAACAGCTGAGGTTGGAAGGGACCTCTGGAGATCGTCTTACTCCATACCCGCATTCCACAGGCTCCCCCAGAGCACAGCACTGTGCTTTCCTATTGGTTTGCAATGTTGCTGTGAGAAGCAGCTGGTGAACTTGGCAATCTTGGCAAACTCATGTGGGAAAGGTTAAGGATGAAGGCCATGCCATTTTCACTCATATCAGCATTTCTTTCAGGAAAAGACTCAGCTCTGGAGGCAGAAGTCATTCCAGCCCCAAGGACGAAGCTATCAGCTCCACAACACGACCTTCGTTCCGCTCACATGATGCCAGCACTAATTATGTCATTTGTCACACTGACATCTGCTACCAGCCCTGCAAGTGATAACCTAAGAGATATCACACACACAGTGCTGCGACGTGGGGAGAGCACAGCAACCTCTGGAAGCTGTTACCTGCAGAGCGGAGGCGTCGAGGCCGAAGCAGTACTTCTCCCAAAGCCCGGTGCTCTCCGCGGCCTTGGCAAGCAGGATGACAGCGTTGTGGGCGCCCACGCTGACGCTGGTCTCGGGGGCAGCCAGCCTATTGGCGGCGGGGAACTGCAGGATGAGGGCATAGGCAACGGCACCGCTGGAGAAGCGGACGCTGTAGCGGTTGGCGGCCACCTCCCCGCTGAGGCTCTGGGGCTGGATGCCGGGCACCGGCAGGAGCAGGGTGAGGGAGGCCTCATCCTGGCGGCACCGGAAGGGAGGGCACGCAGCAGTGGCGGGACCGGAGTCACCCCCGCCCCGGGGATGAGCCATGTGGCCGGGGCCGCCCTCGGCCGGGCACGGAGGGGGGGCCCCGTCGGGAGGAGCTGGCTCGGAGCCGGCGCTCGGAGCGGGGAAAGAGGCCCCAGGCTCGGGGCCGGCGCTCGGGAAAGCGGCCTCGGAGCGGGGCGGCAGGGAGGATGCGGTCGCCGGCTGGTCAGGGAGCTCCGGGCCGGGCCGGGCCTCCTCCCGGGGCTGCTCCCACCGCTCCCCGCCGGCCTCCCCGAGCGGCGCCCCCGGGCCGGGCGGCGGTACGACGGGCAGCGTGACCAGCAGCCGCCGCTCGGCCTTGTCGAAAACGGCGCGGCCCGCGCTCTCGTCCACGCGGTACGGGAGGCGGAGGCGGAGGCGGTAGGCGGGCCGCCGCGAGTCGAGGCGCAGCTCCCGCGGGCGGACCTCCAGCTCGGCCTGAGCGGCGGAGCGGAGCAGCGGCAGCTCCACCGTCACCACCAGCTCCCGGGGCACCGGGCCGGGCGCCGAGTCGTGACAGTAGTCCTGTAGGTCCACGTAGGAGCGGTGGCGGACGCTCCAGCGCGGGGTGGTGGGGCCGGGGGCCGGCGGGGGAGCGGCGGAAGGAAGGCTGGGCGGGGGGAGCGGCGGCGGCGGCGGCAGGGCGGTGTCAGAGGGCGTCTGCGGGGCGCCGCCGGGCAGCGGGGAGCGGATGACGGGCGCCTGCGGGACGCCCTTGTAGCGGGCGCCGCGGAGCACGGATGCGTTGGCGCGGTCGAGCTGCGCGGAGAAGCGGCTCTCCACGGCCTCCATGGCCACGTCGCTGAGCAGCCGGCGGAAGCGGGCGCTGCGGGCGGCCAAGCGGAGCGCGGCGGGGTGGAAGACGACATCGTAAACGAGGCAGCGGCGGCCGGCCCGGCCCAACTCCTCGCGGCCCGGCGCCAGGCTGTGGGGCAGCGCCCAACGTTGGCCGCCCGGCTCGGCGCGGGCCTGCGGTGGGGCGACGTGCGGGTTGCTGCAGATGTTGAGGTAGCAGCGGCGGGAGCCGGCCTGGCTGGTGCGCAGCACGTAGCCCGGCGTCGGGTGGATGAAGCGCACCTCCACGCCGCGCTCCCGCTCCAGGGCCGTCACCTCCTCCTCGTACAGCCGCCGCTGCTCCGGGTCGGCCAGCTCCGCCGCGTACTCGGCGAACAGCGCCCGGAACCGCTCGTCGCGGAAGGCCCGCTGCAGCCGCTCCGCTTCCTCGGAGCTCAGCTCCAGCTCCTCCAGCCGCCCCGGGCCCGCCATGGCCGCGCCGGTTGCTGTGGAGACGCGTAAACAAGATGGCGGCTCCGTTCTGGCCTATCGCGTTGTTATGGCGACGCTAAACAAGATGGCGGCACCCTTCTTTTGTTGCTATGACGACGCTAAACAAGATGGCGGTGGCGCCGTCAGTCCGTTGCTATCGCGACGCCGAGCAAGATGGCGCCCCAGTGAGCTCCGCAGGGCCACTACAACTGCTGCAGGCTATACCACCTATGCAAATCAGTACTGCCACGTCCTGATGCTCCCGCATGGATTTCAAACGACCTCACCCCTGTTCTCTTTCGCCTCTCCCTGGCTGAGTACCACTATCCACTGCCAGCACTTATCAGCCCCTGGCAAATCTGCCTTATGCCTTTCCTGCCCCAAGACAAATCCCAGCCTGCGCTGCCCTTCCTGTGGGTAGCAGAGAACTAGCTCTCAGTTCTGCTCAGCATAGGGAAAAACTGTTCTCCCTCTTCTTCACTTCCTTTCTAAAAGATACCAATTTCCTACACGTGCCCTTGCTTCTTCCAGGTGCCTTCTTTTCTTGTGTTGTGGAAATTAATTTTATCTAAACGCAGCATATTTTTGTGTAAAAGTTTATTGTCGTACAAAATAAGCATGGCTTTGACATTTATTATGAACAGCCTGCAAAACATCATAAAATCACTCCATCTAAACGAGTGCTGCAGTTGGCCTCACAAAGGCTCAGTCTCTTTTTGTAGCCTTGTAGAAAGTCAGAGACCCTGAAGCTTGCTGAAAATACCAAACAAAATAAAGGTTTAGTTAAAAGAAATGTCAATACATACCACATCATTCTATTCTGTGATCTGTGAAAGACTTCATGTTTTGATCTATCTAAAGACCTAAAACACCTCTTGGTACGATTATTTCTGTATTCAAGTAAAGACTGAATTAAACACAGATCTATCTTTTATCCCTTACATCTTTTATCCCTATTCTACAGAAGATGTCAAAAAGCTTCTGCAAAAAGACATGAAATTGAATCAGAGGCAGACAAGACAAATAGCAATTTTCCTGTTTGGTTCTACCACTGTTATTTCAAACAGATGGAAATTTTAGCACAGTTGTAAATCTTTTGATAGTGTTTAGTTTGTGTTTTTCTGTTTTTGCAACTGGTTTGTTTTTTTTCCAGCTGTTGAAAGACCACACTGGGAATGAATAATCACACGTGTAAAACACATGAAATCAGAGCATAAAAATGGCTTCTGAGTTTGATTATGATCACAAAATGAACCAAAAATCATTTCTAAATGTGATTAACCCGTGCAACAAGTATAATGTTCAGAAACAAATCTGTTTCCCCACTGGGTCTCAGTTACTGAAAATCATTTAATACAATCTATGTTTCCGTTTACTTTTGGATCACGTTTCTCATCGCTGTTTCCTGACCATAACTTCTGAATGTCTTATTTTAGGTCTAGGCTTCTGAGCTTCTTATGCTGCTGCGTTAACTGCTAGAAGATTCATTCTGTTTATATAGTTGCTTTTCTGTATTCCTCCTGATAACTAGAAAGTCATCAAGTAAAATAAATATATTTACCTGTCTTCAACAGTCTTGTTGGAGGGGTAGAATACCTTGAAAGAAAAGCCACTCCTTGGAAAAGAACCCTGTGAAGAAAAATACACCACAAATGTGTAAGTATAACGCTGTACAGATGGTCAGAGGCAGTATGTAACTGCATTCCCTTTGGCAATTGACCCATCATTAATTTTCCTAATATATTAATAAAGCAATTTATGAATTCAAGGTTGTCTGCACAAGTCTTATTCTGTAAAGTGTAAGGAAATCTTACAGGATTTATGCAGAGACAGTCAGTGTTGGTGACAGTGAAGGGGTCGTATTTATCCGCAACGACGAGCATATCTGGCACAGGATAAACCCTCAGGGCGTAGTCGTAGGCCCAGTACACAGGGCTAACATACAGTGGAAGTGGTGTCAGGTGTCCTTGTGATAATATGGTCTTTACAAACTGCAAGATAAACAGAGAGTTCATCTGAGCCATACCCTATAAGTCAGTCTCATTCCTACAAACGTTCAGCCTATAGAGAAGTTTTGAACCTGGAAATACTTTCCATGCCTCTCGCTCCCTCTGGTTAGTGGGGCTTTCTGTAGCAAAGCAGTGATTCCACTGCAACAGCTAGCTGCTGATTTGTTTTCTTTTTTAATACACAAACTGCAAAATCTGCTCATCTGTTTCTCCAGCCCAGAAGGTACCAACACTGCCGTAGATTTTCTGTATGTGTTTAGCCTTCTTGCTTTTATTCCTCAGGGCTTTTCTTGCAATACCACAGAATCACAGAATCACAGAATCAGAATCACCCGGGTTGGAAGGGACCTCAAGGATCATGTAGTTCCAACCCCCCTGCCTAGCAGGGCCACCAAACACACACATTCAGATCAGGTTGCCCAGGACCC